GCCGCCGCCGGGGAGGGGGAGAAGGGGGAGCGGCGGGGCGGGAGCCAGCCAGCCGGCCGTGATGCAACATCCTGGGCTGGAAAGGAGAAGCCCCCGCGGAGGAGGCGCCAAGCGGGCCAGCCCGCTCCTCGCGAGGAAGCCCACCCGCGAAACCCTGGATCGTCGAGCCCCGCGCTGGAGATGCCACATTCCCGAGCATTTCCATATATTTTTTTCCAGGGGGGGAAAAATCAGAGGAAAATTTGGTTTCTTCCCCCACCCGGGGAAAAAAATTGGATGTAGGAAAAGTTGTCTAGACTGGATGGACTGAGAAGCGGAAATGTCCTTTTTTCCCTCTCTCTCTCTCTCTTGGAGAAAAATGGCATTTTTTGGAAATTTGACATCTCCTAGTCAGGCTCAGTGGGGGAATCGAACTCCCACCCTCTGACCCAGAGACCAGAACCCTTGAGCTATTTAGAGGATGCTGATGCATCAGTGTAACACTCTTGGATGCAAAGGGGGATCCAAGTGGGAGGGGGCTCTCGCAGTCTAATGGATCAGTCCTTTTTTACTAGCCAATTAACAAAGCCAATTAACAAACCCCTTAACCCCCCCCCCCCAGCTTGGAGGCTTGACTCCTCTCCTTCCTAATCTTCCAGCAGCACAGATCTCTCTTGTTTTAAGAGCTAAGTTAGTGAAGGGGTGGATTCTTTCAGACTTGGAAGCTATTCCTTCTTCAAGCTCTCCAGATCTGCTCTCTGGATCTGCTGTGTGGCGTTTATACTCTGCTAATAAAACGGAATTATGCAAATTCCAGGAATAATCCAGAGAAGTTACGGAACCAGACAAATGGACAGGGTAGCTGAGACAAGACCGTTAAGAGGTATTCTTTTCGGGTTTATTGTTTCCTAAAAGTTTGTGATTGTTTTTATCAACAACAACCCCCCCCCAGCCAAAATCACACAAATGGCTGAAGGAAAAAAGTAACCTTTTTTTTGTTTCCTTTTTTACAGAAAAAGAGAGGATGGATTTTGATCACTGTAGAGCTTTTTCTGGAAAACGTCCAGAGTTAACTTGGGCGACTTTCTCTCAGTGGAAAGAGAGGCTACAGTTTAATTTAAGACCCTTGAGGGTGTAGGGATGAAGAAAGAGCAAGCAATCCAGAGGCCAGAATTAAATGAGAGGATCAAGATTCCGTGGGAAAAGCCATAATTTCTCAAAGCCTCGCAGACCAGTGGTCCTCAACCTTGGGCCTCCAGATGTTCTTGGACTTCAGCTCCCAGAAATCCTGGCCAGCAGAGGTGGTGGTGAAGGCTTCTGGGAGTTGTAGTCCAAGAACATCTGGAGGCCCAATGTTAGGGACCACTGTCGCAGACGATCAGAGGTTGGAAGACTACCAAGGAGAGGCTAGAAGCTCTAGAGAAGTCCTATGTGTCTTCCAGTTTTAAATCACAGACTTTTTTCATCTGAGCACCTGGAAGACTCCAACGGAACTGCAAAAGGGATGGGGAGAGAGCCACATTAGATGACAGGTTGAAAAGGGGATTCCTATTAGGCTCCCTCGGTGAACAGTTTCATGATTTTGCCTCTGTTGTGTATAGGCGAAAGGTAAGTTTTCAGGAAGCTCTGCATCGCCTTAAGGAGGAATGCATGGAATTAAGGGAGTGGCCAGTCTCAGGTGAAAAAGGCTCAGATCACCTGGTGAATGGACATGTCCTATAGCCAACAGCGTTCTGCTGGAATTGTGGAAGAAGGGGCCACATGGCCTAGGAATGCCCGCCCCCCCAGGGACTCCTCAGCCACAAAGACCACATGCAAGGGCTGATCCTAACAAAGAGAAAGAAATGGGGAAAATCTAATAAAGAATCTAAACAGAGAACATGGACATTTTATAATTCTGAGCAGAGATCAGGTGAGTGGTTTATCCATTTTCCAGGTAAGCCTTTCGCTGTACACACAACAGGGAATTCTTTCTCAGCCCAGATGATGGCGGAAGTATTCAAAGTATTAGTGGGGATCCTCTGAAGGTTGAGGGGAACTTCCTAATGAAATAAGGGAAACTGCGTTGACTGAAGTTTCGTATGTCCCTTTCCATCAGCTTTCCCAGAGGAGAACGCTCCGTAACAAAAGATGATAAGATATATTTTCAAGGTTTTAAATTTCGTGGTCTCTACCGAGCCTTTTAGATCCGCAGCAGCCCCAGGAGAAGATGGCAGTGTTGCTTCACGCACAGAGATCTAAAGGCAATCCAGGAGATGAAGGACCACAACCTTGCCACAGGTATCAAGGTAAACCCACAGGGGGCAAACAGCACAGCCAGGTGTGTAAGCTACGTTACCAGGTAAGGGACTAGACCCTCATTTGAGTCACGGACTGTAAAAGGAGCACCAAGATGCTCGATCTGATCCACAGGGATCTGTGCGGGCCGCTGAATTGCCGGTACACAACAAATATAATATTTGTGCATGGCTTTTTTTCAAGGTACCTCTCTGTTGAAGGGAGAAGAGTGAGACGCATGAGATGCTCCAGAAGAGCATGGCCGTGGCGAGCCATAAGTTTGAAAGAAAACCCAAGGTCGTTCAGACCAACCAGGATGGTGAGTCTGTTTCACACCACATACAAGCTGTCTATCGTTTTTGCACGTTTTTGCACAAGTGTCCCACGTATTCCTGTGCAGAACGGACCAGCCAGAAGGAAGCGGAGATCTCTTTTGGAGATGACGAGAGGCAAGTTTACAGATGCAGAATGATCCAGCAGGGGTGTTGTTGTTTTTTTTTTGGGGGGGTGAGGCCATCATGACCCTAATCAGAGCTATTACTAATGAACCGCTCATCTGCCCAAATGACTCCTGCATTCTAGTATTTTGGGGAAGGAAAGTGAGTTTTTTCACACCGAAATCATGCACAACAGCCGTCCACACTAGTTCCACCTTCGTGCTTTTTCCTGAAATCTGCTTGTGCAGCTGAAGGCAGTAAAGCGTCGTAGGACGGGGGGAGGCAGAACGTTTGGCTGAAATCGAGACCCTCACCTTCAGAGATGAGGGATGCTTTGAACCGAGGTCCCCCCCTCCCATCATCTCAGCCATGGGAGCACATTGGGGAGGGGGGGGACCTGTGGCTCTCAAGAAGTTGGCAGACTACAACTTCCATAGTCCCTGACCCGGGTGCTTCAGCCTGATGGGAGTTGGGAGTTCAGGAGAAGGCGTTGGACTATCTGTTGCGCTTCCCTCCTACTCCTCTCTCACACTTTCTCTCTCCCCCCCTCCACCAACTCTCTCTTCCTTGAGAGGCAATGCGCGTCTCCTTCG